TCTTCTCTTTTTCTCATTTTATGTAACACGACAAAAACAAAAACCAAAAACGAACACAAAATCTATCTGTTTGACTTTGTATCTCTCTCGCTCTGCTGTGAATGTGTGTACTCCCTCTGTTGATTTGATATAAATCAATGTTTGCTGCTGGAACTACAACTATAAACAGTCGATTTCATGAATGGTGACGCCAAGAGTCCACAACATACGGTGGTCCATCCAATGTACGTGAGCTATACAAGCATACCAACATCAGCCAGTGCCACTATGCTCTCAAATAAACATCAGAATCAAAATCTAAACAATCACACTCATCATAATAGTCTCAGTAATAATAGTAACCATCATCTCAGTAACAGTAATCATGCTATTTGTACAAATACTACTACTTCTACTACTACTCCAACTGCAACGAAAAAGAAATTCTCCTCATCCTCTCAGCATCAAACATCTCTTCATAAGCAAATTCTAACATCAACAGCAACAACTAACCACAACAATGCAAACAACAACAACAGCAACAGCAACAATAGCAACCAACACAGCAACAGCATTAGCCATAGCAATAGCAATAGAAATAGCCACAACAGCAATAATGCAAACAACAGCAACTGCAACACTTTCTTAATACACACACATCATAACAATAGCAATCATCATCAGCAACAGCAATATTCCAATTCGCAGGGCCGTCGGGAGGGCAGTTTTAATGGTAGTTTGGTTAGTAACAGTAGTCAGTTTGAACCCTTTAATACCGGCAGTAGTCATCATCATAGACGTGGGCGTCATAGGAATATGTCACCCACTAGTCGTAGTTATACACCTAATCCTAGTAATGCCAGTAACTCTCTAACCCACATGCTATATAGTCCTAAACAGAGTCGCAAAGTGCAGCCCACTTCCTCGAACAGTATATTTCCGGCCAATATAGATTTGGCCCAAAAACAGCCCATTATACCGGCCTATTATGATGATAGTACCGCCAAGGCAGATCATCAGTTGTATGTTAATGGTTCTAGAAGACAAATGCTTTTGGCCCAGTCTCCCACCCAGGATACTACCCCCTCACTTTCCTATGCCTCTTTGCAAAATTCCAATCAAAATTTGAATTCCAGTTTAAAACAGAATAACACCACAAGTTTGGGTTCGGCTGGCGGTAATGCCCTCAACAGTTCTTTAAGTAATAGTAACTATAGTTTAACCAATAGTTTAAATAATAATAAAACACAAGCGGCCATAAATAGTGCAGCTGGGGAGGGTCATTTTGCCCGCATACATTCCAAACCCAAACCGGCCAAATCGTCCAGTTATAGTAGTTTTAAACATGCAAATGCTGCAGCAACTGCTGCTAATGCTGGCTCCTCATCGGTAAATGGTCAACGTGCTGATGTCAAATATTCCCAAATTTTTAACGAAAATCCCAGCCATCAATTTGATGAGTCTTTTGAGGAAGATAATTTCTCTATACAAAATCTTAAAACCGATGAAGGTGTAACCTATGTACCCTTTACCAAACCCACTCCGGGTAATTACTTTCTAACACCTTCAACTCATTTAACAGAAAACAATAATTCACCCAATTCTTTAAATTCCTTGAACTCACAAAGTTCTCTTAACAATAATAGCAACCACCATACACAGCATTTGCGCACAAGTCCGAATAATAATTCGTCACAAATAACTCATCATAACTATCATGACAATTCTGGTATTTTACTAGAACATGGTGCTATCTTACAGCCCCTAACAGCCCATGACTTAAATCCAGCTCAAAGAGCTTTGTATCAGCAAAATGGTTTGCCCTTCCATCCAGCCTATTCGCCTACACCGTATAGGCAAAATTCAGCCTGTCCGGCCCAAAAGCAAACCCCCAGACCTACTAACATACCGCTGCCCAAAGTGCCCGTCACTTATGAGGCGGAATTTTTGTCCCCCTCGGCGGTAACACCACCGCCTCCACCCCAGCCTAGGCCACATATATTTCAGCCTCGCACCGGTACGGCACCCTATCCGGATCTCTCGCCCGAGGTAACCGAACGTTATGCCATGCCCACTCAATATATACCGAGATCTCCGGTAGCTACGCGTATAGCCAGACGTCAGCGTCAGCACAATGCGCACAATGAACGATCTCATGCTCCCATCAATAGTTCCGCAAATTTTTGCGATCAAATACGTGACACACCACCCGGTTATGCACCCGATAGTGCCTCCATGCACACCTATACCATTTCAAAGGCTCGTTCACACGATCGTTTGTCCTCGTCACGCAATGTCAATGGTTCATTGCGGGACAAAGAACGATCGTCGCCTGCGTCCAATAATAAAGACAGCCAGCGTGATCAAGAGGAGCTAGCTCCACATGTTAATCGTCGTAGCGGCCGTAGAGATGGTGTTAAAATACGTCCTCGTTCTTATTGTAATTCCATGTCGGGTGGTGAGGGTGTTATTAGAACTAATATATCCAGTGATCGTAAATTGGGTTTTGCCGCCTAGAGATTTTTTTCGTTCGTATTTATTAAGAGTAGTTAGTTAAAATTTTTTATAACTAATAAGAGAAATTTGTCCAAAATTTTGTAGTTTATTAGAAAAAATAAGTGAAGGTGAAGAAGTAAAGAAAAAATGGCGTTTTTTTGTCAACAGGGGTTTCACCTTAAAATGTTCCTTAGATTTGTTAGGCAACGGAACCGAGCACAGCTTTAATTAATTAAAAGAGAAAACATTTTTTAAATATGAGTTTTGAGAGCAGAATGTCAGCTTAATTTTTGAAATACTTTCTTTTAAGTTGTGGGTTAATGAGATCAAGATACTGGATGAAAGCCAGATATTCTATAAAAACTGTCTCTGAACGAGAGTCAGATTTTCAACGAATAATTACTCTAGTCTAGAGCCAGATTTTCTGTGAAAACTGACAGAATTTCTATGAAAACTGACTCTAGACTAGAGCCAGACTTTTTATGAAAACTGACTCTAGACTAGAGCCAGATATTCTAAGAAAACTGACTCTAGACTCGAGCCAGATATTCTATGAAAACTGACTCTAGACTAGAGCCAGACTTTCTATGAAAACTGACTCGATATTAGAACCAGATTTTCTATGAAAACTGACTCTCGACTTGATTCAGATTTTCTACGAAAACTGACTCCAGACTAAATCCACATTTTCTAAAAAAAGCTGGCCCTAGTCTAGAGCCACATTTTCTATGTAATCTGACTTTAGCTCAGAGCCAAATTTTCTATGAAATCTGACGACAACTGACTCTCAGTCTACAGCTAGATTTTCTATAAATATTGACTGAAACTGTCTATAATCTAGAGCAAGCTTTTAGCTTCAGGAAAGCTTTCAATTTTGAGCTGCAATCAATTATCTTGATGACCAATGAAAAGGTGCTTTCTTTAACGATAATAAGTGGAAAGTTCAAAACGATCGTAAAATTTAGCTTTAGTGATCGTGTGCTAAATGTGAAACTTTAAGAAATTTGATTAACGTTGTTTGCATTAAACAAATTAGTTAATAACTTTTTTGTAAAAGTTATCGTCTATAAATTTTAAGCGATCTCCCGGTTGCAGTTTCTTAGCTTTTAGTTAGCGTTAATAGAAAACGATCTGTGTTGTGTGTAATTTCGGTTGACTGTGGAGTTAAGCTTTTAGTTAGCGATAACTCTTTATTGGAAATAAATCAAACAACTTAAGATCTCAACAATATTATCTTATTAAAATATATATTTAAACTTTGCCAGTTATCGTTTGACATTTGTAAATAATATTTAGATGTGACCTGCAGGTCTGTCAGAAGCTTTTTATAAAACTTTTTCTAAATCAAAAAAAAAAAAAAAAAAAAAAACAAAACTTAACTTAACTTCTAATAAGTCAAAATTTTATATTGACTGGATCAAGTGAAGACTATTCTTCTATAAAAGCTGACTCCTAACTAGAGTAAGTTATTCTATAAAAAATCTATAATTAGAGCAAGTTTCTCTATACAAGAGCTCATGTCTTGAGCAAGTTTTTATATATAAAAAAGCTGTAGCAAGTTTTCTATAAAAATAAGCTTTTGACTAGACCAAGTTCTTTTTCAGAAAATAGTCTCTATACTAGAATAAGTTTTGCTGTAAAAAAAAAAATAAAAAAAACTTTATCTAGAATAAAGATTTTCTATTACAACAAGCTTAGACTAAAGCAAGTTTTTATAAAACAACTAACTTTAGACCCGAACAAGTTTTTCTATAAAAATAAGCTTTTGATTAGAGCAAGTTTTTCTTTGAAAATAAGCTTTTGATTACAGCAAGTTTTACTATAAAAACAAGCTCTAGTATAGAGCAAGTTTTTCTATAAAAATAAGCTTTTGATTAGAGCAAGTTTTTCTATAAAAATAAGCTTTTGATAAGAGCAAGTTTTTCTATAAAAACAAGCTCTAGTCTAGAGCAAGATTTTCTATAAAAACAAGCTTTAGTCTAGAGCAAGTTTTTCTATAAAAATAAGCTTTTGATTAGAGCAAGTTTTTCTATAAAAATAAGCTTTTGATAAGAGCAAGATATTCTATAAAAACAAGCTTTAGTCTAGAGCAAGTTTTTCTACAAAAACAAGTTCTAGTCTAGGGTAAGTTTTTCTTTAAAAGTAAGCTTTTGATTCGAGCAAGATTTCTATAAAAATAAGCTTTTGATAAGAGCAAGTTTTTCTATAAAAACAAGCTCTAGTCTAGAGCAAGATTTTCTATAAAAACAAGCTATAATCTAGAGCAAATTTTTCTATAGAAACAAGCTTTTGATTAGATCAAGTTCTAGTCTAGAGCAAGTTTTTCTATAAAAACAAGCTCTAGTCTAGAGCAAGTTTTTCTTTAAAAGTAAGCTTTTGATTCGAGCAAGATTTCTATAAAAACAAGCTCTAGTCTAGAGCAAGTTTTTCTATAAAAACAAGCTCTAGTCTAGAGCAAGTTTTTCTATAAAAACAAGCTCTAGTCTAGAGTAAGTTTTTCTATAAAAACAAGCTCCAGTCTAGAGCAAGTTTTTCTATAAAAGCTTCTCCTACGCTAGAGCAAGTTTTTCTATAAAAACTGCATCTAGTCTAGAGCAAGTTTTTCTAAAAAAGCTTTTTCTAGTCTAGAGCAAGTTTTTCTTTAAAAGCGTTGTCTAATCTAGAGCAACATTCTCTGTAAAAGCTTTTTCTAGTTTAGAGAAACTTTTTTCTATTAAAGCTTTTTCTGGTCTGGGGTACGTTTTTCTATAAAAGCTTCTTCTAGTCTACAGTAAGTTTTTCTATAAAAGCTTTCTAATCTAGAGCAACTTTTTTATAAAAGCTTTTTCTACTCTAAAGCAACTTTTTCTATAAAAGCTTTTTCTGGTCTAAAGCACGTTTTTCTATAAAAGCTTTTTCTAGTCTAGAGCAAGCTTTTCTATAAAAGCTTCTTCTAGTCTAAAGTAAGTTTTTATATAAAAACTTTCTCTGGTCTTGAAAATTTTGTAAGAAAACTTTCTTCAAATCTGACAGACCTGTAGCTTTGACATAAGTTTCTCCGAAAAACGTAATGACCACAAAAGTTTTCAAATCATTTTTCATTTCACCCAAATTAATACACAACATTTTCGCCAAATAAAAAGCACGTTGTTTTCTCCTTTTTTAATGTTTTTAAAAAAAATAATTTTTATAAATCATTTCTTTAAAATTTGAGTATCGTATCGAAAATATTATTTTTTGTTTTTATAGCTTAATAGACTGCGATTGCTGACGTTTGTAAATTGTATTAATAGTAAAAAAAAAACTATATATTAAGGTTTCATAGATGCCCGAGATCTCTTGCTAAAACTCAGACTCGTTCAAAAGAACTTAAAATGGTTCTAATTTAGACTTTACAAAATAAAAATCTGCCTTCCTTAAGCTGCCAAATAATAAAAAAAAGTGCTGTATAGTATTTGTTTTGAGTTATAATTTTTTAATAATATTTTTTTAAAAAAGTTAATTTTTTTACTAATCTTAAACAACTGTAAGTGTTTAAAAGAAAATTTGTTAAAAAATTAATTAACATTTTCCTAAATGTTGTGTACTAAACTAAAGAAGTGTGTGTGTTGTGTTGTTTGTTTTTTCAAAAATTTAAATTTTATATAAAATTTTTTAAATGTCTGTTATTTGTGTGTAAAAAATTAAAAATTTAAATTATTTTCTTTGTTGTTTTTCTTAAGTTAGTTAGCTAAAGAAATTAACGAACATTTTTTTTTTTGCAAAAAGAATTTAAATATTATTTCTTTTTAAAGAAGAAATAATTTTGAAAATTTTAAATTTTGAAATTTTGCAAATATGTAATAAAAAAACTAAATATGGAAATGTGTGTGTGAAAAGCAAGTATGAAAGCTTTTTTTTAAATAATATTGTAACTTTTACAATTTATATACTTACAAAGAAATAATTGAAATATTATGATAAGATAACCAGTGATTTGAAAACAATACAAAAAGAAAATCAAAATTTGTTAGAAATTAAATACAAGGAAAATTTAAAGAAAATATACTTATAAATAAATATAAATAATTAATTAAGAAATTAAAGTGGTTTTGAGGTAAAAATTATGGAAAAATGGGAAATTTATTGAAAATTTTCTAAAGGTGAACTATTTATATAAAAATGTTTGAAATATAAATCTTGATCGAGACTTTAGATTATCTAGACTATAGACTTTCTGTAGTCCAGACTATCTCTAGTCCAGATTATAGACTGTCTACAGTTAAGACTATAGACTATCTATTGTTCGGACTATAGACTATCTATAGTTCGGACTATAGACTATCTATAGTCCAGACTTTAGATTATCTATAGTCCGGGCTATAAACTATCTATAGTACAGACTATAGAATATCTATAGTCCAGACTATATACTATCTATAGTCCAGACTATAGACTATCTTTTGTCAAGATTATAGACTATCTATAGTCCAGACAATAGCTTATCTATAGTCCTGACTATAGACTACCTATAGCCCAGACTATAGACTATCTATAGCCCATACGATAGACCCTCTATATTCCAAACTATGAACTATCTGTAGCCCAGACTATAGACTATCTATAGTCCAGACTATAGACTACCTAAAGTCCAGATTATAGATTATCTACAGTCTAGACTATAGACTATCCATAGTCTAGACTATTGACAATCTATAGTCCAAACTATTGACTATCTATAGTACCGACTATAGATTATCTATAGTCTATACTATAGACCATTTATAGTCTATACTATAGACCATCTATAGTCTAGACTATTGACTATCCATAGTCCAGACTATTGACTATCCATAATCCAGACTGTAGACTATCTATAGTACAGACTATAGACTATCTATAGTCCAGACTATAGACTATCTATAGTTCAGACTATTGACTATATAGTCCACACACTACACTATCTATAGTCCAGACTATAGACTATCTATAGTCTAAATTATAGACTATCTATAGTCCAGACTATAGACTGTCTATAGTCCAGACTATAGACTGTCTATAGTCCAGACTATAGACTTTCTATAGTCCAGACTATAGACTGTCTATAGTCCAGACTATAGACTGTCTATAGTCCAGACTATAGACTTTCTATAGTCCAGACTATAGACTGTCTATAGTCCAGACTATAGACTGTCTATAGTCCAGACTATAGACTTTCTATAGCCCAGACTATAGAATATCTATAGTCCAGACTATAGATAATCTATAGTCCAGACTATAGATAATCTATAGTCCACTATAGACTAACTACAGTCCAGACTATAGACTATCTATAGTCCAGACTATAAACTATTTATAGTCTTGACTATAGACCATCTATTGTCTAGACTATAGAACATCTACAGTCTAGACTATAGAATAAATATAGACCAGATTTTAGACTATTTAGACTCTAAATTTTAGAGTCAAGACTATAAACTATCTATAGCCCACACTATAGACTATCTATAATCGAGACTATAGACTACCTAAAGTCCAGATTATAGACTATCTACAGTCTAGACTATAGACTATCTATAGTTCAGATTATAGACTTTCTATAGTCCAGATTATAGACTTTCTATAGTCTAGACTATAGACTATCTATAGTCCAGACTATAGACTATCTATAGTCCAGACTATAGACTATCTATAGTCCAGACTATAGACTATCTATAGTCCAGACTATAGACTATCTATAGTCCAGACTATGGACTATCTATAGTCCAGACTATAGACTATCTATAGTCCAGACTATAGACTATCTGTAGTCCAGACTATGGACAATCTATAGTCCAAACTATTGACTATCTATAGTACCGCCTATAGTTTATCTATAGTCCAGACTATAGACTATCTATAGTCCAGACTATAGACAATCTATAGCCCAGACTATAGACTATTTAGAGTCCAGACTATAGACTATCTGTAGTCCATACTATAGACTATCTGTAGTCCATACTATAGACTATCTATAGTCCAGACTATAGACTATCGATAGTCCATACTATAGACTATCTATAGTACAGACTTTAGTCAATCTATTGTCCAGGCGGTAGCTAGAGTATGGAGAATCTATTATTTAGGTTATGGATAATATATTGTTCAGAATAAGATTTAAGTTTAGTCCAGACTATAGGCATTATATAGCCCAGATTGTTGAGATTCTATAGTTCAAAAGAAAGCTTATAGAATTTTGATTAAATTTCCATAAACTTCAAAACCACTGTCCACGCAAAAAAATAAATGAAAATATTTTTTTTTTTTTTTTTTAATTAACTAAATAACTAGCAGATCATGCAACTGCTATATTGTGCTCTTTAAAAAGAAACAGCAGCTAAAATTTTGTTTAATTTATTACAAATTTTTTTTTTTTTTATTAAATAAAAGCTGAATTTAGCTGAGCTAAAAAAACAACATTTTTTTATTATTATATTTAGCCTACTAAACAAGAAAATTTAAAAAAGATAAAATTTATATATTAACAAAATAAATGTAATTGTTTTATTATTTTCAACTGTGATATTATGAAAACAAAAACAAATGATGAAAAAAAAAACTTTAAAAATCAAAAAATTAATTAAAAAAAAGTAATTAATTATATATTATATGTTATAAAAAAAGTGTAATAATTAAATAAATGTTTTATGTGTAGGAATTGAATTCTTAAGAAAAAAAATAAAATAAAATTATGGAAAATTAAGGCTTTTTTGAAAAAGGACAAAGAAAACACAAAAAAACTAAATAAAATTGTATATGAAATGCCTTCAAGTTTGAAAAACATAAAAAAAATAAATTAATAAAAAATTAATTATTTACAAAATAAAAATTGAATTAAATATAAAGAAACTTATATTAAATGCAAGCATTAAAATTGTTAACAACAAAGAAAAGAAACTATTAAAAATTGTTATAATTAAATGAAAGAAACACGAAAACGTAGTATATACATATATATTTAACTATTTAACTAATATTTTTTATTAATAATAATTAATTAACTACTATAGTTTTACATTAACATTATTAAAAACAAAAGAAACATATTGATGAAAATATGTATAACAAATGCTTCAAATGTTTCATTTAAAGTTGTTTATTTAGTTGGAGCTTTTAAGCTAAATTTCCATTCTCTAGACTGATCATAGATCTTTCTAAAGGTAAATACGGAGGAAAGGAAAAAGTGTAGTCCTAACTATAAACAATCTATGGTCCAGAATATAAACAATCTATCGGTTAGACTACAGACTATCTATAGCCCATACTATAGACTATCTATAGTCCAGACTATAGACTATCTATAGTCTCGACTATAGACAGTCTATAGTCCAGACTATAGGCTATCTATAGTCCAAACTATAGACTATCTATAGTCCAAACTATAGACTATCTACAGTCCAAACTATAGACAATAAGTAGTCCAGACTATAGACAATCTATAGTCCAGATGATAGTCAATATATAGTCCAGACTATAGACAATCTATAGTCCAGACAATAGTCAAGAAGATAGCCAATTTACAGTTTAGGCTATAGACTATCTAAAGTCCAGAGTATAGACTATCTATAGTCTAGACCATAGATTATCTACTATCTATAGTCCAGAATATAGACTATATATAGTCCAGACTATAGACTATCCATTGTCCAGACTATAGACTGTCTATAGTCCAGACTATTGACTATATATAATACAGACTATAGACTTTCTATAGTCCAAACTATAGACTAACTATAGTACATACTATAGACTATCTATAGTCCAGACTATAGACTATCTATAGTCCAGAAAATAGACTATCTATAGTCCAGATTATAGACTATCTATTGTCTGCTCTATAGACTATATATAGTGCAGACTATAGACTATCTACAGTCCAGACTATAGACTATCTATAGTCCAGACTATAGATTACCTATAGTCCACACGATAATCAATATATAGTCCGGACTATAGACAATCTATAGTCCAGACGATAGTCAAGAAGATAGTTAAACTATAGTCCGGGTTATAGACTATCTAAAGTCCAAACTACAGACTATCTGCAGTCTAAGCTATAGACTATCTGTAGTCCAGATTATAGGCTATCTATAATCCGGACTATAGACTATCTATAGTCCAGACTATAGACTATCTATAGGCCAGACTATAGACTATCTATAGTCCAGACTATAGATTATCTATAGTCCAGACTATAGACTATCTATAGTCCAGACTATAGACTATCTATAGTGCAGACTATAGGCTATCTATAGTCCAGACTTTAGACTATCTATAGTCCAGACTTTAGACTATCTATAGTCCAGACTATAGACTATCTATAGTCCAGACTATAGACTATCTATAGTCCAGACTATAGACTATCTATAGTCCAGACTATAGACTATCTATAGTCCAGACTATAGACTATCTATAGTCCAGACTATAGACTATCCATTGTCCAGACTATAGACTGTCTATAGTACAGACTATTGACTATATATAATACAGACTATAGACTACCTATAGTCCAAACTATAGACTAAGTATAGTACATACTATAGACTATCTATAGTCCAGACTATAGACTATCTATAGTCCAGAAAATAGACTATCTATAGTCCAGATTATAGACTATCTATTGTCTGCTCTATAGACTATATATAGTGTAGACTATAGACTATCTACAGTCCAGACTATAGACTATCTATAGTCCAGACTATAGATTACCTATAGTCCACACGATAATCAATATATAGTCCGGACTATAGACAATCTATACTCCAGACGATAGTCAAGAAGATAGTTAAACTATAGTCCGGGTTATAGACTATCTAAAGTCCAAACTACAGACTATCTGCAGTCTAAGCTATAGACTATCTGTAGTCCAGACTATAGGCTATCTATAATCCGTACTATAGACTATCTATAGTCCAGACTATAGACTATCTATAGGACAGACTATAGACTATCTATAGGCCAGACTATAGACTATCTATAGTCCAGACTATAGACTATCTATAGTCCAGACTATAGACTATCTATAGTGCAGACTATAGGCTATCTATAGTCCAGACTTTAGACTATCTATAGTCCAGACTTTAGACTATCTATAGTCCAGACTATAGACTATCTATAGTCCAGACTATAGACTATCTATAGTCTAGACTATAGACTATCTATAGTCCAGACTATAGACTATCTATAGTCCAGACTATAGACTATCTATAGTCCAGAGTATAGACTATCTATAGTCCAGACTATAGACTATCTATAGTCCAGATTATAGACTATCTATAGTCCAGACTATATACTATCTATAGTCCAGACTATAGTCTATCTATAGTCCAGACTATAGACTATCTATAGTCAAGACCATAGTCTATCTATAGTCCAGACTATAGACTATCTATAGTCCAGACTATAGACTATCTATAGTCCAGACTATAGACTGTCTACAGTCCAGACTATAGACAATTTATAGTCCAGAAAATAGACCATCTATAGTCCAGATTATAGACTATCTATTGTCTGCTCTATAGACTATATATAGTGCAGACTATAGACTATCTACAGTCCAGACTATAGACTATCTACAGTCCAGACTATAGACTATCTATAGTCCAGACTATAGATTACCTATAGTCCACACGATAATCAATATATAGTCCGGACTATAGACAATCTATAGTCCAGACGATAGTCAAGAAGATAGTTAAACTATAGTCCGGGTTATAGACTATCTAAAGTCCAAACTACAGACTATCTACAGTCTAAGCTATAGACTATCTGTAGTCCAGACTATAGGCTATCTATAATCCGGACTATAGACTATCTATAGTCCAGACTATAGACTATCTATAGGCCAGACTATAGACTATCTATAGTCCAGACTATAGACTATCTATAGTCCAGACTATAGACTATCTATAGTCCAGACTTTAGACTATCTATAGTCCAGACTATCGACTATCTATAGTGCAGACTATAGACTATCTATAGTCCAGACTTTAGACTATCTATAGTCCAGACTATAGACTATCTATAGTCCAGACTATAGACTATCTATAGTCCAGACTATAGACTATCTATAGTCCAGACTATAGACTATCTATAGTCCAGACTATAGACTATCTATAGTCCAGATTATAGACTATCTATAGTCCAGACTATATACTATCTATAGTCCAGACTATAGTCTATCTATAGTCCAGACTATAGACTATCTATAGTCAAGACTATAGTCTATCTATAGTCCAGACTATAGACTATCTATAGTCCAGACTATAGACTATCTATATTCCAGACTATAGACTATCTACAGTCCAGACTATAGACAATTTATAGTCCAGACTATAGACTATCTATAGTCCGGACTATAGACTATCTATAGTCCAGACTATAGACTACCTAGAGTTCAGACTATAGACTATTTTTGATCCAGACTATTGACTATTTATAGTCCAGACTATAGACCATCTATATAGTTCACACCATGAAATAAATTTGTGCAATATATACGTCTCCGTCTATCTATAGTCCAGACTATAGACTATCTATAGTCCAGATTATAGACTATCTATAGTCCAGACTAAAGACTTTCTATAGTCCAGACTATAGACTTTCTATAGTCCAGACTATAGACTACCTAGAGTTCAGACTATAGACTATTTTTGACCCAGACTATTGACTATTTATAGTCCAGACTATAGACCATCTATATAGTTCACACCATGAAATAAATTTGTGCAATATGTACGTCTCCGGTAGAACATATTAAAAGAACTTGTGCTACTGTTATGAGAGCAGCTTTCAGTTAGACTGTTAAAGCTCCTCCAAAAAGAGCTTTTTTATAACAAAAGCTTTAATTTCACTACAGAAAGTGAAATCTAAAAATTAGATTTTTAACTGAATAAACAACAATTTTTATGCATTAATAACAACTAAAAAAAAACTCTAAATGTAAAATTAAAAATTTATTTTAAGCGATTTAAACATAAAAACAAACATTCTCTCTTACAAATTTTTTGTAAAAATTACAAAAAATAAATTTAAGTAAATGAAAAAAAAAAACAAATAATTTGAAAAATAAACAATAATTTTAAGAACTTAAATTTAAAGAAAAATGAAAAATTCTTAAAATAAAACAATAAAAAACATTTGTTTTTCTGCACCTGTTGATAATAAAGCTTTTAAAAAGCTTTTTTTTTAAGGCAAAAAATTTGGTGAAAGGGAATTCAATTCAATTGAATGTTTTAGCTAAAAACCTGATTTTTTTAAACTAACTTGTGTTGAACACTGTATTTTTATTTTATTGAATTATAATTTGTTTATGTTTTTTATTTAATTTCTAATTGTTTTTTTATATAATTTTGTGGTTTTTTGCTGCTTTTATTTAAAAAAAAGTTCTTCTTGTAACTAATTTCTTAAAAAAAAAATCTGTAGTTTTTGATAACTGACCCAAAAAATAAGTATTTCCACCAATTAGCTTGTATTTAACATCATTGAAAAGGTAAACTTAATTACTTTAGATTAAAGCACAGTGGTGAAAATGGGGAAAAAATTGGAAAAAAGCTTTATTTTTTAGTTGAAATTATTAATATAATTTAGTTATATTTAATTAAGTTGCGAAAACTTTATACCTCTAAATTTGCACTACAAAGTATAATAAGAAGAAAGCTTTAACTAGAAAGCTTCAACAATAAGCTTTGAACTAAAAACCTATTATGAAATTTGCATAAAAAGCTTGTGCTTTTGAAGCTTAAAAAACATAAAACTTAAAGAATTTCTTTGAAAAAAATAGCTTTTAAAACTTTTAATCATTAAGCTTTAAAGAAACTTTCTGATTTTCTCCACTGTGCTTTCAAAATTAATTTTCTTAAAATTATATGTTAAAAAAAAAATTTTAACAAAACTGAAACTAATTCTAAACTTTTAACTCTCTTCTTTCCCTCCCTTCAAAAACAACAACAGTGAAGCATGTTAATAAGAAATCGAAACATCGACAGTCATTGTACTCGATTGAATTTGGACCGAGTTTGGATACCATAAGAAGTCGAGCCGATACAATACTCGATTATGGTGACGATCAAATGCATGAACGTGGTGGCGGCTTAGAGGGCGATAATGGTGAATTAAGTCCGAAACCTATGACACCGCGTCGTGTTAAAAGGCGTTCGGTTATGCACAGGGGCAGTAATAGTCGTCAATCAACAGCGAGTAGACGTAGTTCTAGCCACAGCAGTCATAAAAATACCTTAAGGGGTGAGGGTAGAGGAGGAGGAGGAGGTGATGGTTCAGGAGGAGCTGGCTCTACGGGTACCCATTCGAGAAGTAGTACCAGAAGTTCCAGACGTAAATATCATCAAAATCCTGTTACTAAACTATTGGATCAACAACAGCAACAACAATCCACCATGCATATACATGGTCATCATCCTAAACAGCCGGTTCAGCAATTTGGTTCTTTTCATCATAAGGATTCCACACCCGCCTTGACTGTATCCAATTTGCAATCTCTTAATCAGGAAATACATAATAATATTAATGCTGTTTCCTCTTCTATTAATGGTGGCGGCATTGGCAGTCTTACCAAAACCAATAACAATCATTATCAATCATTTCGCAAGAATATACCACCAGATCCCATCTACTATAATACCAATGCCCAGACTGCCTATCTACAGCAACAACAATGGCAGCAACTGCAGCAACAGACACCCTCTCCCATACCTACACTAGATGAGCCACAATCTCCTACTTTGACTTTAACCCCCTCACTGGGTGGGGGGCACTACAATCCCACCTATCAACATTCAACCACAAATCTAAATGATGGTGAACATGTAGATGAATTATATAACAATCGTCCACCCTCGGTGAGATCAAGTTATTCTAATTTCCATGGTGCCAGACCCATGTCGTCATACCTATCAACCACCAATACTACAGAAAATGTTTTTGTCAATTTGGTGGCCAGTAATACAGCACAAAATTCGGCTACTCAACATCCCCATCCACCACCTTCACCAGCCACCTCTTCATTTCATCAACAGCAGCAGCAGCAATTGCCTCATGAATCACCTTCCACTCCGCCACTCTATCAACAACATCCTTTACATCAACAATCCTTAAGTCAACACAATCTACCGCCACCACCCCCCTTGCCAGATCCACCTTATAACGCGTCTCAACCGATACCGTTTCATAAACGTACCGCTTCACGGGAAAGTATACGTTCGATGGCTTTTCTTAATAGTGGACCACCAGCGTATAATCTTAATTATCATACACCACCAGATTCGGAGACAACGATGTAATCGAAAGTAAGCGGAAGAGAAGAACGAATAAAACGAACCACCTTGCATCACCACTTGGAACACCGTCCATTTTGCCTTTAGTAGCCTTAGTTTGAAAAGAGGAAGATATGATTTACATTTAGTTTATCCTAAAATGCAACTCTTTTTTAAAGATCACTAAAATTTTTCTAATTTTCACAATGTCTTGACTACAGATCAGTCTTAACTATTGATCAGTTTGTAGTCTGAGCACAAATGAGACTGTAGTCCTTATTATTGATCAGTCCATAGTTTAAGGTATAGATCACTTTATAAGCTTGATTATATATCAGTTTATAGTTTCGACTATATATCAGTCTATTGTTTAAACTATTGATCGGTTTATAATCTTGACTATAGACCATTTTATAGTCTTACCTATAGATCAGTACATATTCATGATTATAGATCAGTCTATAGTATTGACTATAGATCAGTCTATAGTATTGACTATAGATCAGTCTATGTATTGACCATACATCAGTCTATATTATTGACTATAGATCATTCTATAGTCCTGACTATAGATCATTCTATAGTCCTGACTATAGATCAGTCTAAATTATTGACTATAGATCATTCTATTGTCTCGACTACAGATCAGTCTATGGTCTTGACTGGGGATCAATCTATAGTTTTGACTACAGATCAGTTTTTAGTCTTGATTATAGATCAGTCTATAATATAGATAATGATGTTTAGATGTTTAGTATTGACTGTAGATGTTTAGTATTGACTGTAGATCAGTCTAAGGTCTTGAATATACATATATACATATATCAGTATATAGTTTGGACTATAGATCAGTTTATAGTCTTAACTATAGATCGGTAGGTGGTTAGATCTGTAGTCTTGACCATATATTAATCTATAGTCTTGACTATATATTAGTCTAAGTATAGTCTTGACTATAGATCAGTCTATAGTCTTGATTATAGATTAGTCTATAGTCTTGACTATGGATCAGTCTATAGTCTTAACTATAGATCGGACTATAGTCTATACTACAGATCAGTCTATAGTATTGACTATAGATCAGTCTATAGTATTGACTATAGATCAGTCTATAGTCTGGACTATAGATCAGTCTATAGTCTGGACTATAGATCAGTCTATAGTCTAGACTACAGATCATTCTGTAGTCTCGAATACAGATCATTCTATAGTCTTGACTATTATAGATTATAGATTAGTCTATCGTCTTGACTATGGTTCAGTCTATATTCTTGACTATAGATCAATCTATAGTCTTGACTATAGGTCAGTCTATAATCTTGACTATAGATCAGTCTAAAGTCTTGCTATATATCAGTCTAAAGTCTTGAATATAGATCAGACAATAGTCTATAATCAAGTTTATAGAGTCATCTATAGTCTTTACTAAAGAAGTGTGTATCGCTCTGCCTATATATTAGTCTATAGTCTTGACTATATATTAGTCTATAGTCTTAACTATAGTTAAGTCTATATTCTTAACTTTAGATCAAACTTGACTATAGATCACTTTATAGTCTGGATTATGAATAAGTCTGAAATCTTTTTTATTTTGCAATCTCAATAAATTTTAAAATAATTCTGAACAGAGTTGCATTTATTATCATAAATCTTCTGTATACATACTCTTCCTCCTTTTAAACAGGGTACCATAAACATTTAAAACAAGCCTTCCCAAAATAGCTTTAAGTTTGTATTTATAAATAAATACAATTTATATAGAAAAAAGCTTAAAAAAATAACAATTAATATTTAGTTTAAAACTATAAATAGATTTTATTTATATCGAATATATTTAATAATTTAGTATTAATTTATATACAGTTTAAAACAAGAGAACTATAGCATAAATATTGCATTTGCCTATTTTTATTAAAAAAAAAAATACTATATAATAAAGATAAAAGGTCTTATTATTAATTGAAAAAATAATAATTAATTAACAAAGTCTTACAAAACTTTCTTAAAATAAAATGATTTTTTATTAAGATCTTAAATGTTTAAACAATTTCATATTTTTGCTAAATTCATGTTCATTTAATTTTAATTAAAAATTTTCTGTAACTTTCTTTTTTTCAATCAAAAACCAATTTTACCAAAGTACTTTTGTAAATATTGCAAGAATTTTATTTCTTTAACGATGATTTTAAATTATTATTAATAATATTGAGAAATTATATTATTTTTTAAGAATTTATGTAATTTTGTTAAATAAACTAAGAATTAAAAAAATTGCTTCCAAAATAAACGAAAATTTAATGTTATGATTGTTTTTCTCGACGAAATAACTAGTATCAGGCATGGAAAATTCAGTACTTTACTACTTTTTTTGGTACTTTTTCAAACTAATAAACTTTTGATAAGTAGTCCACAGTAGTATTCAGTCTGTAGTAGAGTCTATAGTATAGTCTATAGTATAGTCTATAATCTAGTTTATAGTCTAGTCTATAGTCTAGTCAATAGTCTAGTCAATAGTCTAGTCTATAGACTAGTCTATAGTCTAGTCTATAGTCTAGTCTAAAGTTTAGTCTATAGTCTAGTCTATAGTCTAGTCTATAGTCTAGTCTATAGTCTAGTCTATAGTCTAGTCTATAGTCTAGTCTAAAGTTTAGTCTATAGTATAGTCTATAATCTAGTTTATAGTCTAGTCTATAGTCTAGTCAATAGTCTAGTCAATAGTCTAGTCTATAGACTAGTCTATAGTCTAGTCTATAGTCTAGTCTATAGTCTAGTCTATAGTCTAGTCTATAGTCTAGTCTAAAGTTTAGTCTATAGTCTAGTCTATAGTCTAGTCTAAAGTTTAGTCTATAGTCTAGTCTATAGTCTAGTCTATAGTCTAGTCTATAGTCTAGTCTATAGTCTAGTCTATAGTCTAGTCTATAGTCTAGTCTATAGTCTAGTCTATAGTCTAGTCTATAGTCTAGTCTATAGTCTCGTCTATAGTCTAGTCTATAGTATAGTCTATAGTCTAGTCTATAGTCTCGTCTATAGTCTAGTCCTATAGTCTAGTCTATAGTCTAGTCTATAGTCTAGTCTATAGTCTCGTCTATAGTCTAGTCTATAGTCTAGTCTAGTCTAGTCTATAGTCTAGTCTATAGTCTAGTCTATAGTCTAGTCTATAGTCTAGTCTATAGTCTAGTCTATAGTCTAGTCTATAGTCTAGTCTATAGTCTAGTCTATAGTCTAGTCTATAGTCCTAGTCTATAGTCTAGTCTATAGTCTAGTCTATAGTCTAGTCTATAGTCTAGTCTATAGTCTAGTCTATAGTCTAGTCTATAGTCTAGTCTATAGTCTAGTTATAGTCTAGTCTATAGTCTAGTCTATAGTCTAGTCTATAGTCTAGTCTATAGTCTAGTCTATAGTCTAGTCTATAGTCTAGTCTATAGTCTAGTCTATAGTCTAGTCTATAGTCTAGTCTATAGTCTAGTCTATAGTCTAGTCTATAGTCTAGTCTATAGTCTAGTCTATAGTCTAGTCTATAGTCTAGTCTATAGTCTAGTCTATAGTCTAGTCTATAGTCTAGTCTATAGTCTAGTCTATAGTCTAGTCTATAGTCTAGTCTATAGTCTAGTCTATAGTCTAGTCTATAGTCTAGTCTATAGTCTAGTCTATAGTCTAGTCTATAGTCTAGTCTATAGTCTAGTCTATAGTCTAGTCTATAGTCTAGTCTATAGTCTAGTCTATAGTCTAGTCTATAGTCTAGTCTATAGTCTAGTCTATAGTCTAGTCTATAGTCTAGTCTATAGTCTAGTCTATAGTCTAGTCTATAGTCTAGTCTATAGTCTAGTCTATAGTCTAGTCTATAGTCTAGTCTATAGTCTAGTCTATAGTCTAGTCTATAGTCTAGTCTATAGTCTAGTCTATAGTCTAGTCTATAGTCTAGTCTATAGTCTAGTCTATAGTCTAGTCTATAGTCTAGTCTATAGTCTAGTCTATAGTCTAGTCTAGTCTATAGTCTAGTCTATAGTCTAGTCTATAGTCTAGTCTATAGTCTAGTCTATAGTCTAGTCTATAGTCTAGTCTATAGTCTAGTCTATAGTCTAGTCTATAGTCTAGTCTATAGTCTAGTCTATAGTCTAGTCTATAGTCTAGTCTATAGTCTAGTCTATAGTCTAGTCTATAGTCTAGTCTATAGTCTAGTCTATAGTCTAGTCTATAGTCTAGTCTATAGTCTAGTCTATAGTCTAGTCTATAGTCTAGTCTATAGTCTAGTCTATAGTCTAGTCTATAGTCTAGTCTATAGTCTAGTCTATAGTCTAGTCTATAGTCTAGTCTATAGTCTAGTCTATAGTCTAGTCTATAGTCTAGTCTATAGTCTAGTCTATAGTCTAGTCTATAGTCTAGTCTATAGTCTAGTCTATAGTCTAGTCTATAGTCTAGTCTATAGTCTAGTCTATAGTCTAGTCTATAGTCTAGTCTATAGTCTAGTCTATTCTAGTCTATAGTCTAGTCTATAGTCTAGTCTATAGTCTAGTCTATAGTCTAGTCTATAGTCTAGTCTATAGTCTAGTCTATAGTCTAGTCTATAGTCTAGTCTATAGTCTAGTCTATAGTCTAGTCTATAGTCTAGTCTATAGTCTAGTCTATAGTCTAGTCTATAGTCTAGTCTATAGTCTAGTCTATAGTCTAGTCTATAGTCTAGTCTATAGTCTAGTCTATAGTCTAGTCTATAGTCTAGTCTATAGTCTAGTCTATAGTCTAGTCTATAGTCTAGTCTCTAATCTAGTCTATAGTCTAGTCTATAGTCTAGTCTATAGTCTAGTCTATAGTCTAGTCTATAGTCTAGTCTATAGTCTAGTCTATAGTCTAGTCTATAGTCTAGTCTATAGTCTAGTCTATAGTCTAGTCTATAGTCTAGTCTATGGTCTAGTCTATAGTCTAGTCTATAGTCTAGTCTATAGTCTAGTCTATAGTCTAGTCTATAGTCTAGTCTATAGTCTAGTCTATAGTCTAGTCTATAGTCTAGTCTATAGTCTAGTCTAGTCGGGCATATAGTCCAATGGAAAAATAATTTAGTACTTTAAAACCTAAAAAGTACTATTTTGTTTTAAGTTACAACTATTTCAAAATTTAAATTTTCCATGCCTGGTATATATTACTTACCTTAGTTTTTGTAGTTGTTGTTGTTGCAGTTGTCTCCTTTATTTCAGAATTGATACACAATAATTAAATTTTTCTCACATTTTGCTTACATACAATTTCTTCTTTAAATAATTGTAATAATATAATAAGAAACATATTAATGATTTACTAATATATACCCCCACTTACACTCCCACTCAACAATACTATCGTTCGTGTTGGGCTGCTGACGAATGGCCTTGGAAACCAAAAAACAACAACCGTCTTCTAACAATTGCCTTAACAATTTTGGCAAATTAGACATTTTTATTAAATTTTATAACACTTTTTTCTTTAATTTCTAAAACTTTTTTGATAAATATTTTTATATACCGATAGAAATAAACATTTGTTTAATATTAAACAACAAAAATATTTTATTATTAACAATTAATTAATGTTTTAGCTTAATTTAAATAGTGCAACCAATCCAAAACAACCGAACACTTTAGAAATATTAAGAAAACTAATGAAATGAAACAATAACAAAAAGCATCCATCACTTATTGCAGTTGTTGTTGTTATTGTTATTAGATATTTTCCCTTTAAATGGAGTACATACTAATAATAACAATAACAACAACAATGACAATTTCTCTTACCATTTGTTGCTTTAGTTATTGGTCTTCTTCTTTAGTTGCTACAAAATTTCTAAAGTGTTCGATTGTTTCGTGTTAGTAGTCCTGTTTAAATTAATCTAAAGCGTTAATTAATTGTTAATATTTAAATATTTTTTCAAATAAGTTAAAGAGTTTCTTATCGTGCTTTCAACCCCAATTTTTAAATAAATTCACTGTAATGTATTGATGGTGGGGAAGCTAGTTCCTATGCGCATTTCGCCGGTTGCTTAAGCCAGCTCATCAG